TCATTCATGGAGGGCTGCACGTGTCCACCTCTCATTATCTGGTTATGAAAACCCTCTCATCAGTCCCTCCCTCTCAAATCTAGTCTATCGTAGACATGCTTTCTCAAATTGGCACAGTGATAACTGTTGTCTTTATAATACTTATAAATTAGATGATTAATTTTTCCATAATCATAATTAAAACCCAGGAATAAATTTTGCAGAAATAAAATATATTTGGAAAACATATTTCACACATTCAGCTCTTATCCAGAGATACAAACACTAAAATGCTGTGGTATCTCTCTGACTACAAATCATCCTAGCTTTCCCACCTCCTACTGTGAATATTCAAAACCTGCTAATCTGTCTGTCCTTCCCCAAACACAGGAGAGAACCAGTTAGAGAATTTCAAGGGGAGAATACCTAAAAGGGAATGGTAATAACCTGATGGAGCAAAGCATCTCAGCCTCAACTGGACTGTAAAGACGAGAACTCTCTCGAGGAAGAGAAACGCCGGAGGCTGGCAGAACAGCTAGGGAGCCAAGACAATCTGAAGAGAAGGAGGAAGATGGGATGCCCATGGAAAAGAAGACACTCCAAGCCTTCAGTGATGCCCACCAGGCATACTGTGTGTTGTTACCGTATAAATCTACAGAAGTGAGACTGTCAGTTACCCATCTTGCAGTCATTCTGTAGGGCTTTCAAGTGGTAGGGAATGATGGGCAAAGTATAAAATAAATTATACAAGTAATTTAGTAGTATGCTAGGAAAATATGTTATTTTTAAATGCAAAATGGGCATTATATAATTTAGCAAATCTTACTCTAATTATCAGCCTGAGAGTAAACTGGTGTTTTTTAAAAAAAAATCATTCTTTTCATCTGTTCTCTAAGCTTACCGCTTTCACTGTATATTTAAGGTTCTGTTAGTAACTGGCAAGGCTTCACACCATACGAAGTAAAGCTGTAGGTTATGCAGCAGCAGACATTAAGCGTGTGGGTATAGGCATGCCTGCACTGCTTGTACACATTGGCGAAGAGTGAGAACAAATCGTGCAGAGCACCGCAACCAAGGTACCTCGTCATCATACCCTCCCTCTTTTGACTCAATCATAAATTTCCCTACGTGAGGAATCTCCACCTCTATAACTTGCTGGCTAGAAGGTGGTTGGCTTGTGGTGTTTTCAGGTTTCTGCAGAAGAAAATCGTTGGTAAGCAGATTAGAAAAGACAACCATGGAAGCAAGATCTTTACACGCAGAGGCTGATAATCTCTTTCTATACTCTCTATTCATTACATATAAAGTGAAACCTCTTAACAGTAAACCTTAGAGGTAGACTTATTAATCAAATTGTGACACAAAACTGTAGCCTTTCTCTTTGCACTCCAGATGCTTCAGGTAGCTTTTCCCCAAGCATTTTAGATTTAAAATATTTAAAAATAATAAAGACCAGAGTGACATTGAACGGTAGTATTTGAGGCAGACAAACAATCCTAGTTACTCCAGAAAGTCTGTGTTGCAATTCTATGAAGATAAGATTATGACCTCCTCTAATCCCAGCAGTTTGCAAAGGTAAGGCTTTCACACAGTCTTGTTTAACCAACAGGCTTAGAACTTGAACGTCCTCCATTTCTCAGTCAGCAGATGGCAAAAGCCCAGGGAGTATTTGGGCAGCTTGCTTCAGTCATTGCAATGTGTACCAGAACTTTCTTCATCAAAAATAGACATGAGTTCAAATACAAAATATGAATAAGAACATTTACAAGTTTTATTCCTATTTGAAATGTAAGTGAATTTTAAGGTTGTACACATATTCCATTCTAGAAATACATATTCAAATAGACTTTAACAATGAAAACACAAGTGTTATTTTGTAACACATTTCGGGTGCTCTACTTATCTGAATTTTCATCATCTGCAAAGGAAATAAATACCCACTCTGCACTGCTGTTGTGATCATGAGTTAGTATTTAAGTATCTTGTGTTTAACAGCTGTTAAAACATGGTAAGTATTGCCAAATCATTAAATAATTTATACTGTAATTATTTGAACCAATCTTACTATCACATACATTTTATCGAGATGAGTTTGTTGTAATTGTTAATACTTCTAGCATTTGAGACATTGTGCAAGGTCTCCATTAACACAAGTGAAATGTAAGCTAGTAAATTACAATCCATATTGGGACTTTAGTAATGACTTACTAGCAACCCAATCTATTATTTTAAAGACAGAAAAGGGGGCCTGGAGACATAGCTTCCTGATAAAGAGCACATCTTGCTCTTGCAGAGAAACTGAATTCAATTTCCAGCACCCACACCAGGCATCTCACACTAACTTCTAACTCCAACTCAAAGGGACCCAACGTCCTTTTCTGGGTTTTGTAGGCATTTACACTCACATGTGTACAAACCTACATGCAAAGATTAACATACATATAATTAAAGTGAAATGAAAGAAAAACCTTGAAGAAAATAGCTTCAGGAACCCTGTAAAAAGAATTGTCTTTGGGTAGATCTTGAGTTAACAGTAATAGGCCCTTTGTGCTACTGTTAAGTTGCAAAAGCGTAATGTTGATTTTGATAATCCTGGAAGGAAAGAGGTTCTATCAGCACAACAGAACTCAAACTCATTCAGAATATTTACCATATAAACTAGTTGAAGGTATAAACTAGTTGAAGGTATCATATAAACTAGTTGAAAGTAAACATTTATTTTTAGTCATTTATTATTTCAAATATAGTGAACAAATTAACAAAGACTAAATAAAGGCTACAAAATTAGGAAGGTCCTTGGTTGGCATGATAGAAAAAATTAAAATAGCCTAAAACTCACTGGCTGTATGATTTTGTAAAAATGTTCTCAGAGAAGGGATTGAGAACATGAGTCACAGGACTATAGAACTTAAGTCTGACTAGAAATGCAATCCAGAGGAAACTGTTTGTTTCAGTAATACTCAAGTGACTGAAGAATTAATGAGCATGTACTTTGTTTTATTTTGACATCAGATATCCCTTTCATGCCAGAGGGGCACTTATATGGCACCGTTTAATAACTAAATACAGGGACTCTGTTCTACGGAAACATGTGAAATGGGTAGGCAGAGTTGATAGTGCCTGTCCACTGCCAGCAACTGAAGCAGGCACAATGTTTCCTTCTTGCCATCTGTTTTCAATACTGTCAAATATCCTAAAACGTTCCATTAGAAATTAAGGCCACTCTCTAGGAAAGCAAGATGCCTGAACACTTGAAGACTGCTGATATCTTCTGTGATTCTAAGTTTTACCGGAGTCATGCCTACTCCACAGCTGGAATCTGTGTATCTGTGAGATAGATACCCAGTGCTGAGGGGAAGGAACCCACACACTGACACCTGCTATCAAAATGAAACAAAACCACACAAAATCCTCAGCATTAACCTGAGTCCCTTCAATTTGTCAGAAAAGAAGAAAACTGAAACACAAGTAAAAAGTTTCCTCAAGACTGCATGTCTACTAAGAAATGAAATCCATACACAAAAATCACAGAAATGGTATCTGAAATCTGAAGCCTCTCACTGTATTTTCTGATATACACTAAGTATAACTGGAAAAAGGTAACAGGAAGTGGTTGTCAGAGTCCTAAGCAACAGTCCTGAGACCAAGAGCACAATGCACTCAGGGAGTAGAAGCTCACAACTCTTCAACAAGTCCAGATTTCACAGGCAACAGAAGTATTATTTGAGGAGACAAGGAATGTGGAAAAGAGCCCTCTTACCATAGTCTCTTTTCTCTCTTACCTGAGCTAATTATAAGAAGATACCCACACCAATGAATCTGGGTCATGCAAATTTATGTGATGGCTATGTAAATTAAAATATTTATAATTAGCTGGATTAAGATGAAACATAATTCTATATTACAAATTATTATTTTGGTTTTCTGAGCCTAGTTAAAAGCATGATATATCTTAGGCTTTAATGACTCAAGATGCCAATTTATGAAGAACCCCAAGTTAAAATTTTATACTGGTAAAAGTACTCTTCCCATGCCAATTGTCTGTCCTTGTTTCCCAGGCTTTCCTGTTCCCAAGGCCTCAAGAGCAAGAGTTTAGACTCATGAAGCAAAGTATCTACCATGAAAAGTTTTAGAGTTAGCAGATGTTCTTAAATTTATTTATAGAATCTAAGACATTTGCAGAATTTATAACCATAAAATATATTTAAATTAATTTTCATATTAAGAAGACTGTAATATTTTTTCAAGGTAGAAGTAAAAAAATTTCTGCTTTTTAGTTCATTACAATATAACTTTTGGAATGCCTTATTTACTAAAAAATTTGATTAATGGGTGTTTTAAGGTAGCAAGCTATTGCTGAGGCCAAAGTCACTTGCAAAGTACAACTTTTGTCATGTAAATTTCTGAACTATCCTATTATATTCACTTACAAGGAAGAGAATCTTCACATCCTAAAGGAGCTCCAGTAAGCCCGCATGGGGCTGTTTTGGTGGGTGGGAAGTGGCAGTACTAAATTCTTGACATACTCATTGACTCAACCCTACATCTCTGGTCCATTTGCTCTCATAAAACAAACTGTAAAGTACACTTTTACAGTAAAATGATAATAACAGTTTCTATCCAGGACACACACAAACTGCACATCGTAGTTGTTTTCTAGTAATATTCTCACTTATGGTTAAATACTTTACATAGAACATTGACAACTGTTTACTAATTTCTCAGTTACTCCAGTATTGACATATCAAGGGAAAAAATACTGTTGAACTTTATGCGTCTCTTTAAATTCCAAGTCAAATGAAAAGATTAGCCTGTCGTCTGAGTCTTTTTAGTTCTCTGACAGGAAACTTAAGAGAGGATTTTATTTAAAATCATACACTGAGGAAGTTACAGCCCACACTCCCAGATCATGCCATGGCAAAAGCACAGTGTCCCCTGACTCCCAGGCAGGGTGTTTCTCCATTACATTGTAGGAACGCTGGACATGGCTATGTTCCGAGAGCCAGAAGAAAAGTTCTTACCGACTGCAAAACTGTCTCTGGCCCTTTATCTTCATGATCATGTGATGCCTTGGCAATCACTCGGAGAGTTTCTTCTTTCCACTGCTTTGACAAGTCACTTCTTGATGGCTGCTCTAGATAGTCTGGTCCGCCTGCTTGTGCTTCAGGAGAAAAGAATCAATTGTGTATCTAACATAAACCACAAGGTACTATACAAAGACTAGGAGCTTGTTTCTAATTCTGAAGTTATATAGTAACCAAGTTAAGTGCTGTGCTGTAAAAACGCATCCTTCAATGGAGTGCATGTATCCAAGAACTTACCAACAAAAAGTATCCAAAAAGAGGAAAAATAAAACCAAGAGGACTCAACTACTAAAGAACATGCACACACTATGTTTTACATAAGGAAGCATTTCTACATGAAAGTACCAGTCTCTTTTTGAAAAGTCATCCAGTTTTTGCCTAAAAGGAGAACCGGATTGCCATTGCAATTTTGGTATAGGGTTCCATAATGAGTACAGGTTGGTTGGTTGGTTGCTTGTTTGTCCATCTAACAAATCCTAACCCTGAGTGAATCGTACCATCTCCACTTTGATTCCGCCCCTTGTAAGCTCTCTGAATAAAAATGATACACTGATGCCAATATGAATTTGTGTCTTCAAATATCATTCAGGAAAAAAATTCAAAGTGCACTTCCAACTCCACCTATCCTTTGAGCTCCACATAACATTTCCAATACAACTCTGGATATCCAAAGAAACTTTCCGTTACCGGGCTTTGCCCTTTTCCTCCTATGTCATCCTGTGTCCTCTGCTCAAAAAGGCCCCCACACAACTACTTCTGCATACACTAAAAGAGAAGCTTACCCTAGCTTTTCATACTCTTCCTGTATGCTCTACCACTTTCTGGAAACTTACTTGTTCTCTTAAGAATCAGCTATAGAGCATAGTTCCTAGGCCCCACCATTATTTAGATGTTGGTTTTAATAAGTCTATGGTGTGGGAGGATATGTTGTGAACGCATCGTGTCCTTCCTGTATATAACCCCTTTGTCCCTTCCTAAAGTATGACAATGCAGAGGCTCCATAGAGGCAAATGACTCTTCCTCAAAGAGAAAATCGCTAACAGAGGAGAACACCAATTCTACAGTCACACAGACTTGCCTTTTATAGAATGTTTTACCTCAATTAAAACTTAATGATTCCTTTATTTAAAGCTTGTATTCCCTACCCCCTGTAAGAATCTCATGAGCACACATGCTCTTTTCCTTCTGCACTGCTAATTCTCCAAGGCCCAGCACAAATAGGAATATAATTTAATACAACAAAGGAATTAGTAATTCTACTAAAGAATGAAGATGAGAAGTGACAAGGTAAACTGCTACTGGAAATAGTGAGTCATTGAATAACTACCCCTTGAGACAAAACAGAGCTACAGGCAGCCCCCCACTTAACATTCTACTTTTATCATTAAAATGTGTTCCATTCAAAATGTAGTACTATAATTTCAATATACATTAATGGACATTGATTTCACCAACAAATTTTAATTAAACTCATGTATGCCAGGTACAAGGCTAGGTACTAGGTCTCCAGGAGTAGCAAAATAAACAGTAATGTCGTCTCTTAAAATACATTGTGGACAAAGTCACTAATTAAAAATTGAAGGAATTGTAAAAAAATGTAACAAAGGATAGTTTGAATGAGAACCCCCATAAATTCATATATTTGACTGTTTGATCCTCAGTTTGTGGAACTGTTTGGTAAAGATTTAGAGGCACTGGAGATAGACTTTCAAGTTTCAAAAACAGACACTATTTCTCTCTCTCTCTCTCTCTCTCTCTCTCTCTCTCTCTCTCTCTCTCTCCCCCCCCCTTCTCTCAGAAAACACAAAGAGCCAGCTAGATCACACACAGCACAGCAAACAGCAAAGTTACTACCAGAAGACAGTGGTGAGCAAAGTGTTAACAGTCTTGAATGCTATCAATGTTTTCAGTTGACCAAGAGATTGAAAAGGTTCTAACACAATAGCAGCATTGTAAGTTTGTCAGGTAAGAATTAGGGACTATGCAAAGCATGACGGGTATGCAAAAAAAAAGTCTCTCAGTTCTATCTCTAGCACATACAGAAAATCATACTGCTGTATTTTGAATAATGAATTAAAGAAAGTAGAACTGGAGCTGGAGAGATGGCTCAGCGGTTAAAAGCACTGACTGCTCTTCTGGAGGTCATGAGTTCAAATCCCAGCAACCACATGGTGGCTCACAGGCATCTGTAATGAGATCTGATGCCTTCTTATGGAGTGTCTGAAGACAGCTACTGTGTACTTACATACAATAAATAAACATAACCTATGGGCCAGAGTGGAACCAGAGCAAAAAAATATAAAATAAAATAAAATAAAATAAAAGAAAAGAAAAGAAAAGAAAAGAAAAGAAAAGAAAAGAAAAGAAAAGAAAGTGGAACTGAGGTCAAGTAGTATAAGTTACTTGAGCAATACTAAATGAGCTGATTGCACTCTCGGTAACAGGCAGCAGCAAAGGCACACACAAGCGATGAGGTACAAAGAGTATTTTGTAATTTCCATATTAGGAATCAGAACTTGAACACAAAGGTAATTCCAAGTTTCTTCACGGGTAATTGTGGAGATGGAGGTGATTTTTACTATAAGGAAAACCAGAAGTGAAGATTGCTTAAAGTATGTGTGTTAAGGAAAGACAGAAGTTAAAAGAAGTTAATTCCCTACATGTATCACTATTTCTTGCTTGGCGCTGATATGTTCAATGTCTCTACTGAGGAGAGGACGTAGGCAGTGGAGGTTACTAGAGAGGCATCTCTTTCAGGATGGCTTCCTGCAGGAACCTTAAGTGTTATGCTTAAGGCTTAGGAAAGTATTTTCCTGTGTTTGGCACAGTATCTTTTCACCATATGGCAAGAATAATGGCTGATAGAATAATAAGCTTAACAAAATATGAGCAAAGAAAATAATCTGGTCAGACATTGGTCTAACTATCAGTCCAAGACATAGGAATAGTAAGTTGCCTAAGAGTGAGAGTAACTTTTCGATTAACATAGTCAAATCCACTATAGTTCATGAGGGCCAAGATGATTTTCTATATAGAAATGTGATTCCAAAATCTTTATGGGTAATATTAAATGATTTTGACTAAGCATTTCCAGAACTACTTTCTCTAGCTAGAAGAAAAAATTACCTTACATAAATATTTATATGTTCCAACTATTTTAATTTCTCACAAATTAAGATGAATCTACAGTCCATTTTTATAATATATTAAACGTAGTGATATCCTAACTTTCTGTGAATGAACTATGGACTCAATATATACACTTGGGATGGTACTGACTATTAAAGATTTTTGAAAGATTTGACAGCTAATTTGTGTCTTGAAAGACTTATAGGCCCAAGATTGGTTTGGAAATGAGGGGCATCCAGGCAGAAGAAATAGTTTATAGAAACCATTTTAAGGATCAATAAAAGACTAATAAAAAATCCTGACATAAATCACATTAATAAGCCAGTCAAAATTAAGTACAACCTAGGAAGGGTAATAGAAACTTGGTATAGTGAAAATAGATTGAAGTGATCTTGAAAGGATTCATAAAGAGTTTGTGATAATTAAAGGATCTTAAAAGATCCAAAGTCATAAATCCCTTCAGCAATGTCACTGTTGTGGGAAAGTCCCCTCCATGTGAGAGCTACGAAGAATAGGGTTACAGTAAGAGAAGGGGCAAGCTTGTCAGTCCCTTGTAGTCCTAGAAGAGAAACCAGAGTCAGTCAATGCACAAGGTAGAGAGGGAGAGAGAGAGAGAGAGAGAGAGAGAGAGAGAGAGAGAGAGAGAGAGAGAGAGAGAGAGAGAGAGAAATGTGTTTTCTAATACCCTAAGGTAAGCACTATTAAGATATTAAGATTTCTTTTCCTTTGGCATTTTCTTTTTCAAGACATAACCAATCTAATAATTTTGTTTTAATAAAAAAGAATGGTTTAATACACATTCTTAAGTAAGAAACATTTTCAGTGACCTTTCTTTTACTAAGTTGTTAGAATGAAAGTTTCAAGAAATCCACATGTTGCCAGACATATGGACAATTTCTGTATCAGGTCATACCATCAGGAGGACGAAAGTTTGACTTTATAACATACTATGCTCCAAAATGATGACAGTAACCACGCAACCACATAAACCTCACACTACTGCAGGTGCTTATAAATAGAAAGAATCTAATGGGCAAAACTAATGCATCCCAAATGCATCCCTCGGAATCTGATTTGGAGGACCAGGAGTGATTTCTTTTGCTTCCTTTATTTCTGGAAGTCTTTCTTGATTTCTATCATTGTTTAGTTGTTAGGTTTTCCAACAGCTCATGTGTTGGAGATGTGTTCATGAGATGATGGTGCTTTTGGGAGGTAGTCCAGTAAGTGGTCTTCTTATAGCAAGTAGCAATGGGACACACCATTAAAGGCTACTGTGAGGAGCCCTTTTACCTGTTCTTCTCTTTCTGATCAGCAGAAAATAAGTAGCTTGTTCTCACTGTGCACTCTGTACACTGATGTTCTAGCAAGCCCCAGGCACACAAGGAAGGGAGCCAGGAAATCGAATCTTTTCTCCCTTAAGATGCTTCCTCTTAGATAATTTGTTCCAGTAAATATCCTATTACAAATGGTTATGAGTCAACATGTGGTTGCTGGGAATTATACTCAGGACCTCTGGAAGAACAGTTAGTGCTCTTAACTGCTGAGCCATCTCTCCATTCCCTGGCATACTTTAAAACTTACTTCTCCAAGGTTATAGTTTACCATTTGGCAGGCCTTGGTATTCTGCCCATTCTCTAGAAGATGGAGTTCAATGTGCATGCACCTATGAATAGTACTAATTGGACACAGTAGGTTATGAAAACAAGAAGTCATGGTGGTGGGAGAATGAGGAGTGAAGGGATGGGCTGGATATGATCTACATATGTTACATTCATGTAGGAAATTATAAAAGAGTAATTTTTAGTTTGTTAAAAAGCCTTCACTAAGGATGAACACTAGGAATGACATTATTGAAATTTCCATGAGGAAAAATACAATTTAGAAAGGATTCAAAGGCCATCTACTATATAGTGTTCATTAAAGTGTTGATGCAGATATAAAATGGATAACATCCAGACCCTGCTATATGGGAACAGGACAATACTGGGGACATTTGCTTTGCTTCCCTTATTTTGAACCTGCAAGCTTGAGTTTATGGAAATGACTTGAAGAGGGGATTTGCTTGTTACATTTGCATACATTTATGAACCTCTGGGATATATTTCTGACCCACTTTTGCATCGTTTTCTACCTGTAATTTTGTTTCTTTTTCTGCTTTGTTTTGAATTTGAGTATATTACCCATGTTGTAAGGAATCAAATACTTTTTCTGGATAAGGATTAAAACAAGTGAAATACTAACTTAGGAATTAGCCATATTGTAAGGTATGAAAAGCTTTTCTGGATGAGAGTTAAAACAAGTGAATATGAATTTAGGAACTATTATTCCCTGCTTTAGAATCTTGGGTCAGATAACAACAACATGTAGCTGTGACGCTTAAGAGGAGCTTCTCAAAGTTACCTGAAGATTTTTAAAATGGATACTCTAGATCCTTGCTGAAATTCCTTTCAGATTTAAGAAACTTTTAGCCAGGAGTCGAAAGCAGAGTGTTTGGATTGGCTTGTCTTTGCAGTGGCAGGATTATGGGGGAACTGGAAATGCATCAAGTAACATTTTTTCATTGCTTCTCAGTCATTTTCCCTTCTGTGGGCAATGAATAGTAGTGGAAAAATAACACCACTTGATTTAGGAAACAACAAACAGTAATATAATCAATGTTGTATATCCTAATATCACTAAGTAGATAAGGGTCTTTAATTGGCTGACTTCTTGAATCTTTATTTAGAAGAGCTCACAAGGAAGAAAGGGAAAATCACCCTGTTGGATTATTTAGGCAGTGTTTCCTACATTATTCCTCCTCGTCACCCATAATCCTACGGCACACAGAAGAGACTAAGGCATCAGGTCTCTTTAAAATTCTGGAAATCACAGAGAACTAAACAAATCACTTACATTGAAAACTATAAAGAGAAAAAGGTAGTAAAAGTGTTAAATTTTTTGTACTAATGATGAGATAAACAGTTGCCATAAAATATTAGCCTTATTATGATATGTGAACTCCTCTTCAGCAGAGAATAAGCTTCTGCAGTATTAAAATACTAACACCAATAATCCCAAGCCTGAGAAGGTGAGGTTAAATGATTGATTGCTGAGAGCTGCAGATCAGCCTGGACTAAAGGAATTCATCTTCTCAAAAAAGAAACATCAATGTGTGTGTGTGTGTGTGTGTGTGTGTGTAAAAACTTCTCAGTCTTGTTCTTCATGTTTATAGATGCAGCACATTCTGCTTCTACTTAGACAAAAAGCACACTTCTTAAAGAGAATGCAAAGCTTATTATTACAATATAGCTGCTCTTAAACCTTAGCACAATCATGTAAAGAGATGTATGTGACCTATAGATTTATATTCTTTGGCTCCCCACAAAAATATCTATCTCCATTATTCTCAAGTTTATTTTACACATTAAAAAGAAACATGAAAATATGCATTCAAGAATTCTCGCTGAATTTTTAAAATTTCAAAACATCAAAAACATCTTTCCTTGGTAGGAGAGAAAGATCACAAAGACAGGGCATGGGTCACAGAGACAAGACCTTTGTCATGGAGGAAAATAAGATGACAGTGTGGTGGACTGGAAGATTAACAAAGAATGTATATTAGTTTAACATGGAAATAAAATGCTAGCCTTAAATTTAGAGTCTTATTTTAAAAAGACAAGATACAGAGGCAAAGAATGTCTGAAATTTTATGTTTTGGTATCACAAAATGTAGGTTAATCAAGAATATCATTGATGTAGGTTCAAGAATCATGTTGAAGGTTAATAAATGGAGAGTCACTGTGCCAGCACACTTAGATTCTATCACTTGGGTCAATTATGCAGCCCTTGCCCCCTACTAGTAAGAAAAAAAAGAAAAACCTCACATGTGAATGGAGCATGCAAATATCACCTAGGCCAAACTCTAGGAAGTGATCCGAATGATTTATACAAAAGACCAAGGAGGAAATTAAAAAAACAGACAGGAACAAAAAGAACAAATTGGAGCCAAGAAACCCCTTGGTAGCTACTGAAGCTCAATGTTGTAACTCTACAGTTCTCTCATGCTCTCCAAGGAACCCACTGATGTACTGTCCTGCACACAAGGGAAAGCTCACTTGCCACTAACAGCACTGTATGGTCACACAGAGCGTATGATCCTTATATACCAAAATGCTGGACTTTTTGTTGGTATAATACTTTATCTTGGTCATTTAGAGCCTCTAAATCATATGCTTCTTCAGTATGAACACATTAACTGTTCAATGTATTTCAAACGAAGTTATAAATCTGTACAGACCTGTGCATGCCTGCATCGGTCACAATGCTGTAATGGGCTAGTACATACTTCCTACCAAAAAAGTAATTCTGTTTAATATTCAGAATTAGAAAGCTAAAGCCCACACAGGTAATGCTATATTGAAATATCTCTGTGAAAGATGAAGTGAAGCAAGCAACCCCCTACCAATGATTCCTTGAAAACTAAGAAGAGAACACACAGATCCTGGGCAAGGGGCATGAGTTAGGGATAAAGGCGCAGTCGGAGTAAAGAGAGACAGACAGACATGAGTAGCCCTCTTTTTTCCCCTAATCTGCAGAATTTATCTAGGTGTACTTTTTATTTTCTCAATTCCCTATCCAGTTCAGAAAAAAATCGAACTTTCAGAGCAATTAATGAATGGTCCTAAGATAAATCTGTAATTAATTTTTATAAAAATAGTTAAAAAACATTTTACCTTCAATTTTCCTAAAATCTCACTGTTGAATTTATTATTTATATTGAATATTTTAATGATTTTATCCGGTAATATTTAAGAATTACAGTTTCTAGTATTTATACTTTTCATACATTTGCCACTTTTATTGGTCTATATACAATTTTTAGCTTGGAAAATAGTTTTAAATGTTTATTTTTGACTAAAATTATTCTCTCATTTTAAAAACTGGGTATTGATCACATGGACCTCACTACTGAGCTATATTCCCAATTCTGTTTTGTAATCTCAATTTTTTAAAAAATCTAACTGGATTGCTATTCCAGTTATTACACAATAACTATGAGTCTATTAGTATTGTCTGTTGAGAGTTATTTCCTAATAGACTTTGAAAGGCCCATTTGTGTCTTTCCTAATCACAGTTATTACTGCTTCCAGCCAAAAGGAGGATGGGTGACTCAAAGCACAGAGAGGAATCTTAGCTGTCTATAGCGAACAAGAAAGGTATGGCCTGTGGTCACCGTGATAGTTAGACATCTGCTAACTTCTACTGCTTCTTCATACATGACTATAGCTAAACCTCATGCTCTGACTTCTTACGTGTGCCAACGTTAATGGCCCATACACCATTTTTAGCTCGGAAGAGTTTTAAATGTTTACTTTGACTAACATCATTCAGCTTTTTTTTAAAAAAAAAAAAAAAATTGGGTGTAGAACAAAGGGTCCTACCACTGTGCATATCAGTGATCAAATTTTATAATAAGACACAATAAAAATCAATGTGATTACTCGATGATAAAATATAACTTAATAGATGGACAAACCTGTGGTCGCAGAGGACTCCGCTTCCCTCAGTTTCTGAGCAGCTAGGAGCTTTTCTTGCAGTGCTCGCTGGGCGAGCTGTGTGTCCCAGTCTGCCAGCTCCTTCTCAAAGCGCTGGTTGTCCTCCTCAACAAAATCTCTCAAGTCTGGAGGCAACGTTTCCATTCCAACAAGGGCCTGACCAGTCTCTTTATTAAACTCCTCTGAAAAATCACATTTCAAAAACTAGTATAAAATGAAGAATTAAAGGAAAAATGCAAAGTTCAAAATAGAATGCATTTCAAGTGGAATATAAAATATACACTATTATTATATACAGTTATCATATCAAACAGTATTACCTACATTTTCTTAAATAGTCTTAAAGTGCTCAAAGTCATAATTACTTGAAAATGACTCTAAGGTTTCTGACAAGTTTCTAGAGTCTCAAGAGTAGCAAAGAGTTACAATATGAAATTAACTAAAATGTCTTGTGATTCTAACATGGACATCACCTCCCTTTTGTTATTATAAGACAACATCCGACCTCTGCATATGCTAGAAGCTACCTTTTCACCAAAGTAACAAGTAACTCCTAACTTTGTTAAGCTCAAAATAGAACTAAAATGTTTTTCATGTTAAGGGGTGAAATACAACATAAAATCACATAAACTAAAGAGTTTATCATTACAGCAAGGTGTTCTAACACGTAACTAGTACTTAAATAGTCAGCTTACACTGTTGAGGTGCGGTCTGTTGCTATGTATTGTAATGCTACATTCTGTACGCAAAGGTCTAGGCCTATGAATGAATTCTCACAGTTACAAGCTTTTGATATGCAAACCTTGTTCCTTAATTTAAAACCACTGGTTAAATAAAAATGGCTACAGCCAATATTGTCACAGGGATTTTGGCTTTGAGGCAGAGATTACAGTGTTCAAGCCTAACCAAATACACAATTGTCTGATGGAAGAAATAGGTTTATTTTTAAAAAAAAAGATTTATTTTATGTATATGAGTACACAGTAGCTGTCTTCAGACACACCTGAAGGGGGCATCAGATTCCATTACAGATGGTTGTCAGTCACCATGTGGTTGCTGGGAATTGAATTCAGGACCTCTGGAAGAGCAGTCAGTGCTCTTAACCACTGAGAAATCTCTCCTGCCCTGAAATATGCTTTTGAGAACACCTGAACTGATGTTTGGAACGTATATTAAAAAAAAAGCAAGAGGAGATGGCATGAAGCTCAAATGTCAGTAATGTATGCAAAGTACAAAATGGACAAAGGGCATGAGACTGGAGCAAATGTTAGAGGCCAGAAAACAAACGCCCTCTGTGCTAGACTCAGGTGTCAAAAGCCAGCCAATGTTGTAGCTGAAGCTACTAAGGAGCTCTAAGTATGGAGGAAGACATTCCGATTTCTGTTTATTATTAACTGTGAGTACATACAATGTGATTGCCCTATGCAGGTCCCATTACTGTAGTCCAGCTTAGCTTGTATTACCTCCTCATTCCAGCTTCTCATGAGTACTTCTTAATGGAATTCTCCACCGTCCCTGAATTCATCACACAGCCAAATCATCACCGAAAAGTCCTTACTCAAAACACCACACTGTGGGGCTGAACAGAGCTCAGCAATTAAGACCATTTGCTGCTCTCGAATACCCACATGGTGGCTCACAACAACCATCTCTGACTCTGGATCCACTCCTATCTTCTGGGGACCAGGCATCAGGCTCTTGCACAGTGCATTTGCATAGATGCAGGTAAAATACTCATACACACAAAACAAAAAGTCATCTCTAAATACCAAGGATGGTGGGCCATCGTCTTACCTTGTATTAAGAATTGTGCCTTGTCATTTATGTACATTAAGCAGTATGCACTGGCATTTCTATAACCACCAAAAGAGTCCCTCACTAGTTCTTCCCATGATGACTTGGTCACAGCAATATCATTGTACTTCATCCACCGGCTCTCATGATGGTCAAAGATGTATGCCCAGTAGTGGCCGGCATTAGCCTGGCCTTCATGAACTAAGACAGCATGGAGGCGGTAAGGGACCTGTTATGGAAAGAAAAACAAAGTTGAATTGAATTATACATTCTAGGAAACCATTTCCCAAGGACACCTGAAAGCTACCTATATGAGGAAAGCTGGGACACATTTTTTAAATAAGATAAAAGTCACTGGGATTAAAGTTTTTGAGGATGATCAAAATATCTGAGCCAACTTCCCTGTCCTAGCCCAAAGTCATTTTCATGTCCGAAGCCTACTTCCTTGTTCTAGCCTAAGATTTAGATTCCTGCCTGAAATTACTTCTTTGTTCTAGCCTAATGTCAGATTCCTGCCTGAAGCCTATTTCCTTGTCCTTGACCAATGTCTAGCTTATTCCTTGATTATTTGCATCTATTATGTTGCTAGTTCCTCAACCTAGAACTGACCTTAGTACTTGAATTAATTAAAATGGTATAAAAGCAAATAGGAGGAGGGGGGATGGAATGGGGGTTTCTAGACACGAGAAATGGGGAAAGGGGATGGCATCTGAAATGGAAATAAATAAAACAGCCAATTAAAAATTATAATTTAAAAAAGTTTTTGAGGAAAACAACAGAACAAACAAACAAAACATGCAAAATTATTTAGGGAGAAAAATCCATGGAAATCAAATAAACAAAAATATTTACAAAACGTGTAAGAGAAAGTAATTTTCAAAACTGAAAATAGATTATGCATGCTGGTGGCTAGCCCACTACTTCCGTGCACTGAACAAAGGAGTTACAGTGAACATTTATTCAGTTTCTCTCAGTCTTCACTAAAGCTAAAAAACCAGTCTACATAATCCATGTACATCCAGAGTAAGCTTTCCTGTTTGTTGCTCTCTGGAAACAGTTTGTTACTAACGCAACCGTCCTTGGCCTGCCTCCCACATGTATCTCCTGCCTCAGCATCCTGAGTGCTGGCTTTAAATGCTACCACACCGGGAAAGAAGTTAAAAGCTTAACTGGGCTTCAGAGTTTCTCCCCAAATTATTTACCTCTAAATGGTCATATATTTTCCCCATGGATTTATTTTTTTCTTAATTAATATGCTTGGAAAATTGCTTGTAAATTTTATTGTAGATTTTTTAAAAAGAGTAACTTAGGTATATCGTGAAGAAAATCTGTCATAAAATGTTGTCAGAAATTTTTTTCTCATTAGTTTATACTGTGATACCAAGAATATTGCTTGTTATAATAAAATGTATCCAAGATATATGACAAAACATGTACCAAGAATTAGTGTGAGATAAACAGCATGAAGGTGAGGATGGGAGGATAACTCAGCAGTCAAGAGCACCCGCTGCTCTTCCAGAGGACTGGAACTTGTTCTCAGCAGACATGTCCAGCGGTCCACAACTGCCTGTAACTCTGGCTCTAAAGTCATCCTACACCTTTGGCCTCCCAGGACACCAACACACACAAAAACATACACAGAATTAAAAACAATCCTTACAAATAGTGCACAGGTGAACTGGAGGGTGGCAACAGAGTGACAGGGACCGGCAGCTCAGGTTCACTTACTTGGATCATGGATTTGTCAGAGTACATAAGTTCAACTGTTCGATGGATTCTGGATATGCTTTCCTGCAGATCTACGGATATAAGACGGCACTCAATGGATGGATGATAAGGTCACCTGGATTTCTACTGAGACTAATAAGAGGGGGACCAAGGGCTTTCTTTTATGACCACACAAGCGAGGAGGAAAAGGTTTCTTTAAGGTGCTATTATTGTAGTCTGTGTGAAATGAGATGTTGCTCAGAACAAAGAAAGTTAATAACATGAGAAAATGAAACAACTCAGCTAGGAAATATGCAGAGCCAAGAAAACCAAACTGTATTCAAGTTTCTACACAAAGGTTTCAAGAAATGTTAACGCTCACCAACCTGTACATGTAGAGTGTAGTAGAGAATTTATAGAAAAAATTGACTGAGAATTTATAGAAAAAATTGACTCTGTATGTGTATTTGACTAGAACACTAAAATAGGCAAGGAAAATAGAATATACTATGGAACTTCTATTTCCCATATTTCTACTTATAGTAAAAAAGAATTCTATAAAAGTCTTCAAAGAATGGGAGTTCTCAACTACATAGTTCAAAATTTTTAAATCTGAATAATGTAACTAATGATATCAATACATTAAAATATCACAGAATCATAACATACTGCTAATCAGTTGAAGAGACTCAGGAAGAAACCAGAAGAGGTGACTATAAAAAGTAACTTCAGACTCTGGAAAGACCTATTTTAGGCTGATAGAAAATTAAGAAACTATAAAGGATAAATGTAAGAGCTTCAAACATCTAAAACTTTAATTAACATCATAAAAACAAAACAAGGTACTACAGAGATGGTTCAGTGATTAAGAGCACTAGTTCCTCTTCCAGAGGACCTGGGTTCAATTCCCAGCATACACATGGTGGTTCCCTAAATGTAATCTTGGGGAGAGGTCTGATGCCCACTTGTGGCCTCCACAGGCACTGCACACAATGATGTACCAACATACATGGAAGCAAATCACCCAGACAGAAAATTTAAAATTAAAAAAATATAACAAAAGTAAATAAAAAACCAGCATAAAGGCCAAATGACAAACTAGAAAAGTAATATCCATAGCATGCACTTTAGGCAAAAAGACTAATGTCTAACTGAGTATGTTTTCTTTTAAGAAATAAAAATTAGAAAAATTTCTTACTATAAAAAATAATAACTGCTTCACAAGTTATTATAGGGAATCAGTAATATATATTTGGTCTTGGTACATATTAAATGTCCAAAAATGTTTACAAAAGAGGAAAACTAGATAAATAAGACATTTAAAAATACAATCAATGTATTCATAATGAAGGTAAAGTAAATCAAGACACTGAAATGTCATTTATTGCCTACCAGACTACTCAAGAGTAAATAAAGTACACTTAGGGTTTGGTAGTATCCTGAGAGTATTCTCTCTCACACAAAACTATTTTAAAACATTCAAAATTTTAAAACATATACTTTAGCTGAAAAATGGTACTTTTATTTATTTAAGAATATTATACACACACATATATGTGTAATGTATATGCATATATATGTAATAGGCCAACACTTTCTACAGTTAATACATTAATATTAAATGTTATTCCTGCATTGGAATACTATATAATAGTGTAAAAAATCAATGCTACTATGTAGCCATGCTAGTATGTTGTTTCAATAAGAATTAAACACAGAAAGCAAGAATCCTAAGTAAGTCTTTCCTGCTCCACAGTACGATATGCATAGAATCTTAAGACATGAATGTTCCCCAGGGTCCTCCATCACAAATAACCGATAGAGACTTCACCATGCTCCCTTCCTCTTCCAGGTAAGGACCCACAAGTTTGTCCATTTGAAAATACATTTTACTTAGTTATTCATGCTACGATGAATTAAGTGACCAAGAGGAACTTGATTCCTCCCCCATGCCTGTGGTCATTAACCTCCATGTGTCTGTTTTCTTTTAATATTATTTCAAACATTTGTTTTCTCCCTTTGTGCAGTACCTGACTGTTAAAAGCTTATCAGCATCCACCCTTCTGAACATAAAATTATGAATACAGTCTGCCATGTCCAGAAGGGAATTATTCAATACTCAAAACAGCATTCAATAAACTATTATTAACTATTATATAACTAAACTATGTTTAATTAATGTAGGCAAGTTTTAATATTAAAAGTTATTTTATATATGAACAATATTAAAATAAACTCTCTAGTTACTAAGGCTAACAACTCAAGTATTTACTCTATTAAATCGGACTGGTCTTTATGCATACTTATCTATAAAGAATCAATTTGGCTATCTTTAAGACAGCTAGTGCTGTTTAATGTAACTTCATGCTTTCAATATAAAATTACAATTTTTATATTCCTGGTAGCTGAAGTTATGAGTTAGTAAGGTATATTTTGACATGTGAAAAGAACTATAATATAATCTACCATGAAGTATTATTTTGTTAAAATCAAAAGGCTTATTTTAACGGTTAAAGAAATGAATTCAAATCTATCAAGAAAGAATGGTAGCTTAGCAATACGTGTGTTCATCCATATACACTCCTATATACCAAAGTCTTATTTTGATGCATACTTCCTGAAAATCTTATATAAGCTGGTTCTGGGTCCGTGGATCATATGTATAAATCTCTTAGACTAGATTAAACCATGAGGTTGGAGATGGGGCTCAGCTTCTCTAGCATGATTAAACCTCCAGGTACAAAAAGAAATAAAAATTCACTTTTAAATGGTTACACCTAAAGGAAAACAGGTTTCCCCTCTTCATTATGCAAGCATCAGATGGAGTTCAGAACCAATAAGTACAAATTCTGAGGTTCTATGACATTTCCCCAATGGAGTAGCTGTGAATATCAGTTTGATATAAATTTAGAACATTAAACTGGCAAATCAGACCATCTGTTACATCATTAATCAGCTAAGTAATATGCGGAAACCCTCTTGGTCCCTTTGAATCTGACACTAATAGCAAAAAAGTGGAGAGTCAGATCAGTGTCTCTGACATAAAATCTTTTCAGAAAAGATTAAAAAAAAAAAAAAGAAAGAAAAAAGGAAACAATACAAGTGTTTAAAATGAAATCCAAGGATTTTCCCTATCACTATACAACATCATCTGAAGCAACAGCAGCCACGCTCTGTGAGCTTCTTACCTCGTGTGTCATTTTCTATTTCTGTCCTCCAGCGATGTAAACAGCTCTCCAGCACAGACAGTTCCTCCTCTGTGATGTGCCTCGGTGCCGGATGCATGGGCAAATCTGGAGGTATCCGAGACTGAGTGAAGGGCTTGTGGATCACTGACCTCAAAGACAGAGCAGCACCTGATGCAGGTGATGAGCTGGGCAGGTCTGAAGCAGGGGCTCCCTGCTGTTCTGTTGTGCTGTGGTTTCAAAGCATACACTGCTGGTTAAACTTCCAAACTGAAGCCAAATATACAGACAGCATCCAAGTCCCTCACAATTTCAAGAGGAAATGATTTTAAGGAATACATGAACTGATCAAATATCCTGATGAGACCTTTAGTACAGGAAGAATAAAATCTTATGAGATTGAAATTGTGGCTTAAAAGTAAGAATGCCTTTTTATTTTTAAGTGGAAAATCTAATGCATATTCTAACTAAACATCTCTCCCTAATACCAACTTGCATTACCAGAAACAAATTCTACTCTAAAAGCATTATTGACTTATTTTAAGACATTCAGAAACTAGAAACCAAAACTTTGCAAAGTATAATTCTGACCAGAGAAAAATATATAGATTCTAACAGATAAACACAGACCTACTGAAATGATAAGGAATAAGTTGCTAAGTTGACCCACTTTTTAAAGGGGTTTCTTGAAGTTAATCACAACAGCATATAACTTTATAAAACCAAGTTTGAGTCCATTACAGGATACAGGCAACAGAGCAGCCTGCTGTGTGGGGAAACGTTACCTTGGTAATGACTGTGAGGGTATGGAGCCACTCGTTGAGGAACTAGCATCTATATCATCAACAGGAGAGGTGCAAACAGGTTTACTGGAGGCAAACTCCAATGCATACTGTAGAACATCTACCAATGGGAATCTCTTGGGACCGGAACCATAGCTTAAATATCTAGTAAGAAAATATACAAATGTTTTACCTATATTGTCAGAATAATTTGTGGCTTTAAGTCTTATAAAATAAGACCACATCAATAAGATACCAATGAAACCCACTTTGTTTTTCTCATAAAGAAGGTGAAACTAAATATACATTCAAGAAATGGACTAAATGTTCTCAGAAGGAAGGACTGGAAAGCTTGTCAAAATCTCAAGTCATATGTATGGCCGCACCTACAACGCCATTCCAAACTGTGCCCCAGTGGGAAAACAAAGTCAGGACCACTTGAGACATCTTCATCTCTGAGTCATGCACTCAGACTGCAGGGTCAAGGCAGTCCCGTGTACCATCTTTTACCCAGTGAACACTCTCTGTACACGTGGTGTTACTTATTAAGACTAAAACTCACTGAAAATATATGTTCACACTCAACATTTTGTTATTAATGGGCAAATTAAACATAACTCAGGCCAGCCTGGTCTACAGAGTGAGTTCCAGGACAGCCAGGGCTATACAGAGAAACCCTGTCTCTAAAAACCAAAAAAAAAAAACAAAAAACAAAAACAAAAAAAACCATAACTCAGAAAGTTGTAGGTCACCAACTGGGATTAGGCACACTGCATTTATTTCAGCCTGTAGACTTGCCTGCCTGCACGGCACCCACATTCCACACGTGACGGAATTGTGACTTGGAAGAATATATGCACACACAGCCCCTCCCATAGGGTAGGTGACAGCACCCACTCACTCTGAGCACACTTCTATGGGGTGCACACCCTCCCTTCACTGCCCAGCTTCTTCCTGAGTGATTCACTGTGTGAAGCTTGGGAGGCCAGGGCAGGAAGAGTTTGAATCCTGTTACTCAGCTGCCACTCCTTTCAATCCAGGTAACCCCTTGCTCTGCGCTAGCCTCCGTACTTCCTCTTACAGCACCCGGGGAACAAGCTGGTGATAATCACATCTTTAATTTAAATTTCTAAAATAATTATCTACAGCCTACTAAGGATGCCATCTAACTTCTAAAATAGTTCATCAAAATTCAATCCATAATGACTATATGCATCATATACATTTTAAGTTACCCGAAGCATGTTGAAAATTAGTAATCTAGGTAGGTAATCTATGGCACATGCTTTCGTGCCATAATTTCATGAAGGCTGAAATACCTCTCTAATCTCTGTTGTAACACTGTGAGGTAATCTTTAAGTCTCTTGATCTCTTCACGTTTAATTCTTGTTATTTCTCTGTTTCTGTGCATATACCTATCGAGGAAAAGAATTATCCATTATTAGTGTTTCCAGTATCTTGGAAACCAGTATGATGTTAAATCAATTATCACTACAAATTTTATAAGATATTAGATATAAAACACAAAAATATTTTAACAATTAATATATTTACATTTATAGCTATGTATTTATAAGAAAAATTAAACATATTCCCTTAACAAATAATAAGACACATATCAGTAAACCTTAGCTTGAAGGAAATAACAATTTTATTATACAATTACCCTTCCCTCGCTCGCTGAACAGTTGCAAACCTACCACATGTTTTAGAAAACATACCTGTCCAGATATAAAACTTGGGGAAATTCTAGTTTATTGTGAATTTTTTCTGGTCTTCCCAATGCCTGATTAAATTCAAATCTTGAGAGCTCAAATGTTAATACAGGTGGCAATTCAGTGAACCAATGCTGAAAGAAAATGACAACAGACACTTGGTCAGCCTCGGTCAGGTGTCTCCATCACAGTTTTAAGGACAGGGTATGATCCTGGAGCTGACATCACTGTGCTGACAGCACACAGAGGGACTATGACAGCTTCCTTAAAGCTGAACTTCTGTCTGAAGTGCCCATAGCCTTTGTCCACATTAGAGGACAAAGGGAAACTTATCTATACACTGCTCTTCTTCCTCAGTTGCAACATTCCAAATTCTAACTCGGAGAAAAGGACTCTAGAGCCTCGACTTCTTTGGAACCAAAAAGATTATCAAATCCATGACTTGACTGAAAGGTAAAAAATATTTATCTGGTACAAATGCTCACTGTTCTCATCCTAAAATTGTAAAAAACATTATCTTCCTATTTTCTCTCTTTTTTCTTCCCATTTTTACCTTGAATCTTACAACTACACATTATACTAATTTATGATAAAGACTTCTCATAAGCAAACAAAGTTTTATACTTGTAAAAACTTTCAAATACAAACTAGTGATTAATGAGTTAAATTTCTTAGTGCTCTAAGTGTGTCCTACCCACTCGCCCCTCACACACAAAAAATTGGCAGCTGTTTAATGAACCATGAAATTTAACATTTTTAAAAAGCTTGTTTTCATGTAACAATTTTAAGTTTTACAAAAGGATACTATTTGTTTTGAGATGAATATTTACATTCACAAGCCAACAATTTCAGAGGAGTAAAATAATAAATATTTTTAAGTATTTATATTTATAAGCTGTGCACAAGAGACTATTAAAGGTATTGGAAGCCACATTACAGGTATAATAGCTTCCAGTGACAAAAAGTGGTACCAAACACCCTTCAGTGAGTGCACACCAACTTAATACAGGAATAAACATGGCAGGCTGAGGAAAATGGACTGGAATAGAATCTTGATGGTGGCACTTGTCTCCAAATAAAGCTACTAAAAGTAAATACCTATGTGTGGCTCATTCTTCCTCTCCAAACACTAATGATTGCTGGCTAAACAGAGGTTGAATTGAAGATGAGTAAGGTTTTCCCCGTTAAAATATAAAAAACATGATTTATAAGAGTCAACAAAACCTAACATAATAAGCATTTAAAGATGTAAAAGAGAAAAGTCACATGATAGCATGTGGTGTAGATTTTGTTGTTTTGTTGGTTTTGTTTGTTTGTTTGTTTTGGTTTTTAGAGACAGGGTTTCTCTGTATAGCCCTGGCTGTCCTGGAACTTACTCTGTAGACCAGGTTGGCCTTGAAATCAGAAATCTGCCTGCCTCTGCCTCCCAAGTGCTGGTATTAATGGCATGCGCCACCATTGCCTGGCTGGCAAAGTTCTTTTTTAAGATTTATGTTCATTTTTATTTATGTGTATGTGCCTGAGTCTTTGACGCTGTCCATGTCTTTGCTCATGTCTGTGTTTGACATGGAGCCTACAGTCCATCAGAAAACACTGGATTGATCCCTTGGAGACAGAGTGACAAGTGTGGATGAGTCTCCTGACATGGGAGCTTGGAACTGAACTCAGAACTGGAAAAGCATCGCATGCTCCTAACTTTAAAGACATCTCTCCAGCCTTTACCCTTGACTTCTTTACCATATCTAAAGTTAGGTAAAAATTAAAACATTGTCTCTGATATTTCATAAACAAACTTCTGAGTGATTACTTAGGATAATCTTCCACACACCATTTTGTGACACATAAACAGGCAAGTATAGTTTTTCCTTATTTTACCTCAATGCTTTAAATACCATCTTTACAACTAATTTGAGACACATTTTAACTGATGAGAACCTTCAATGGCTGAGAAAAGTAAGGTGACCCAAACTGTGATAGAGTCTTCTGCACAGCGTCTGTAACTCACGAAAAGACGCTCACAGAACATTAGGTAGCATGCCTGTACTTGTAACACATTTTCTCCATTAGCCACAGTCACTTCTGCTCTAGTATAAGGTGAAAAGATGGCATTATCTCGGTCTACAGCTCATGAGGACAAGATAAAAAAAGTTTCTTAAATTCACTTTAAGGAATCACTAGTTCTGTGCCTAGCCCTGAACTATTAGTGGTTTAAGTATAGTTGCATATAAATAGAATTTTATATAGCAAAATATATTAATTTATTCCCCCCAAACAAGTACTCATTTCTTACTAACTATAAATTAACATTACCATGTAATGCTTCTTTTGTGTTGGGTATGGGAAGGAAAAGTGGTCAAAGGGTCTCAAAGGCCAGGCTGTCTTAAATCCTGTATGGACCCCAGGCTAGCCTTGAACTAGTGATTCTTGCCTCATCTTTTGTAATACTGGGATTAAAAGCATGCACCAATAGCTCAGCATCATTTTGTACATATTAAGCAGATGCACAGTAACTATAAAATTTTATGTAAATTATGTGATTCGATTTGAAATTGTCACTGTCTTGTCCACTAAAAATGTAACAGGAAATAATGCAGTGAAGATCCATATATCCTCATACATGGAACATATGTCCAGATATCAATCAGCAATCACTTCACAGTGGCTGATTTGGAAGACAATGATTTGTGCTGGCTTCTATAGTAGTGTGCATCTTCTCCAACAGGTGCAACAGGTGGATACAGATGGATGAATACATCGATGGTACCAAAGGGAGAAGGAAACTGTTGACTTTGGAAACTAAATCAGCCATGTAGATAAGCGGGTTTGGGGAGTATTAACGTCAGTTCTTTCACAGAAACGTAGCATCTTCCATTTTACCTTATGCAATCAAATAGCAATCTCATAAGAACAGACATGTCTGCTCTGTAGAAACGGGGGCTACTATACAGAACCATGGGTGAACGTTAGCTTAGGTAGAAACTAACAGGAGTTTTTCATTTTTGAGTTGACTACCATGCTGCTGATGACCACTACTTTAATGGGAAATCATAAAACATGAAACAATGTCCTGAAAATGGACAACAAGTCAAAGAATAAAGAGAGATAAAAACTTTTGAGATTAGAATCTGACATAAATGACATATCGGATATTCTGTCCAAGTTTCAGAAATGTGTCTTAGGTTATTAAATACAACTATATTTTTGAATATTTTGTCTGTCATTCTCAGTGATGTGATCAGAACCTTAACCTTGCATTAGGCCATTTAAAAGAGAACGGGAAAGAAGAGGATAATAGACATGGCGGACTCACCTCCTGGCCTGATTTTCCTGAATTATCCGAGTGTAAGGATTCGATCTCCCCTTCAATCATCGCAGCCTCCAGACACTCATGCAGGTCTTTGAATCCATTGACCTGAAGTGGATACTGACCAAACATTTCAGTGTTTTCAAATTTTTTTCCTATAGGATGGTTGGAGAAGTTAATTAATGTTCTTCAACTTGGCTTTTCAGCTACAAAAATAAGTGTTTATATAGTATGTATGGATTCTTTCCCAAACCTGAAAGAGTTGTGCTCCAGAGAAAAATGGGTGAATAGAACTTTCCTACACACACACACACATTCGCACACATACATACATATGCATGTATGATAATTGATAAGGAGAGCTTTCCACTGACACATACATAAAATGCATGTGCATACATTCACACGTAGCCAGACAGTAATTATAACTCATATGTATATGAGCTCTAAAGATAAGACACTGAGCTAACACAGGATGTGTGTATATATGCACACATAAACTTGTGTGTGTGTGTGTATGTAATTCAGCTACATTAGAAGGCATCACAGACACCCATTTGTCATAAACCAACTAATGATTCAGTAGGACAATTGTTATAGATAAGAGTATAAAAGAGCTAACCTAGTGTTAGGAATGGATAAGTAGGGCAATGAAGACAGGAAATTGACATTTAACCTGAGATTTGAACTTGAAGAGTGAGTAGAAGGTAACTAGGCCAGATTGTTGGACTGAGGAGCATTCTTGGCTAAGAAACAGCAAAGTCATAATATTAAGGCTCCAAAACTTGGCATGTTTAAGGAACCAAAGAAAGATAAGAACATCTTATGGATGTAATATAGTTTGGTGGGGGTTAAGATTTATAACATATTCCAGTCCTACTTATAATTTTCTTGAACTGTATTCAGCAAAATAGAAACACAGAGCAGTCATATCCATGAAGGCATAGAATCACAAGCCCTGGGGCTTGCTTTGGTGGAAACACACACACACACACACTTAATATATGACATGGAACATGAACAGAGCCAAGTGGCAGGTTGTACACAGGATGCAGATAGCACAACAGAAAGTTGAGGATTAGAAAGTCCCATGTTCCTCCCATGGACAATGCATGGTCTCCCGGGACTGAATGCATAAGTCTAGAACTCTTTCCCTCTCTGTTCTGCAGCAGTAAAAGTCACTGATGCAGAGTGACTGGGAGATTTTCATTTCAAAAGTTCAGTATGACAGTTTTCTAATTCCTTCATTTCTAATAGTTCGATATCACAATGGTGAATATGACTGCCTAGGGAACTGGAAGAAAAGGAAAAGAGATTATACCAAACCCTGTGGAACCTACCTTTACATACAATAAGAAACATGCACAGGCATACACACACACACACACACACACACACACACACACACCCCTTCTAAAATGAATGTAGTGTCCCAAAGTCCAGAGAAATTTGTTTTTAAGGAAGAGACAAGATAAATAAAAAGAAAAGTCGATCCCTAAACTGGATTTTGTGAATTTGCTCATAGGTAGAAAATCCACAACTTCTCAAAGTCTACCTTTTTCAGAATTGTGGAGCTAGCAACTACAGCAAGGTGTGTTAAAAAAAGAAAAAACGTAATCTGGTGAAACTACCTCTTTACTACAAGGGGCAAACTTTTGAGTAGGAATTAGTGTTTTTCTTTTTAATTTCTGTGATATGAAGTAGCAGAACACATAGAAATACTGAGGTGAACTACAAGGGAAAGGAAGAAGTTAAGGATTCTGAAAGGGGAGTGAATGAAATAAAGCTACTTAAGAGCATGAGACCCAGAGCTCAGAGCATGAAGGGATGCTGCGGCCATACTCTTAGTTTCTAAAGAGAAAGAGGGAAAGGTTGTGGTGAAGGTGTGAATAAGTAGAGCTAATGAAATCTGAATTGCTCATACAGAGGGAATGAATTTCTTCTAAAAAGAAATTAAGATGTTGGAGTTGAATTCAGAGTGTTGGATAGACGTTGCAGGCTTCAAAATAGTTGAAAATTGGAAAGATATTTCTCAGAGAATGAGAAGCATGAGAAGACAAAGAAATAAAGAAAAAAGGAAGGAAGGAAGGAAGGAAGGAAGGAAGGAAGGAAG